TGCAATTAAAAAAAAAGCAAGAACTTTAAACTTGCTTTTTCTTGATCAAAAATCTTATTCTGATATATCAGTATACTTATTTGGTTTTCTTAAGGTTCTTGTAGTAAAGATAAAAGATATATGTAAAGTTTTGAAGTATTAAAAGACAAAAAAAAGTATTTGTTTTTTAATTTTAAGAAAAAATTACTATAAAAAGAAATTTTTAAAAAAAGTCATAGACAGGAAAGAGTTTTTTTTTTACTTTTTATAATTTTTATTAATAAAATAAATATATAATATTATATAATTAATTATAAGATATAAGATATAAGATTAAATATATTAGTCTATTATCTATTTTAGTAGATATATTTCCAAAAAATTTTAAACAAAAAAAAACTATTTATTAAGAAAAATAAAAAAAAACTATTTAAAAAAAAATTGTACTCTTGTAAAAAAAAATAAATGAAAAAAAATAATAAAAATATCTTAATATAAAATAAATGATTTATTTATATATTAATGTTATGCAAATCACATATAATTTGATGGGTTTGATCAAGTAATTTTTGTTACATATTGTTATTATAGAATATGATTATATTATAAGATTATAGTGAAATAGCTAAAATATATTTCAAATATTTATTGTTTTATTTTAATAAACTAATATATATTATAATTATAAAATCTATATAAAATATTAATTACATGTTTTTCAATCTAATAAGTTGTTATATTATTTTGTATAATTAAATAATATAAAATATAATTAGTATTTTGTAGATTGTAAATCTTTTGATAAAAGTAAACTAATTTTAATTTTTTGTATATAGAAATAAGTAAGAATTGAAAATTAGTCAAAAAGTTATATTTATTAAACTGACATTAGTTATTATTAGTAGAAAACAAACATAAAAAAAAATAATACTATTTCTTGATATATATATATATATTTAAAAAAAAAATATTGGTTGGTGTTTTAAATATGTTTTGTATAAAAATAAAGAAAAAAATTTTCTTTTAATTTGAAAATTGTTTATATAGATTTCACTTAATAAAACAAAAAGTTTTATTCAAAAAGATTTTTGCTCTCTTCAAAGTATCTATCTCTTTATAATATTAATTGATTATTTATATTTTGCAATAAGTAAAAATAAAAAATTTTTTTAATAAAAAATTCTTGTTGACTGTTTACTATTTACTATTTATATTATTATTAAAAAAAATTTTTTTTTATAAATTGAAGTATTGTAAAAAAAAGCTTTTTTTTTTATAATAAATAATTTTATAATATTACAAAAACAAAATCCAATATATATACTGTATATATATTATAAATTTTTTTATATAAATAAAAATTTTTAAACCTAAATAAATTTTAATTAATTAATTATTATTTTATTGTATTAATTATATTTAATTATTCAAATTTTTAAGTTAAGATTAGAACTCCTAACGATACCATTTCGATATCAGTTCGATACTTAAATTTACTATAAAAATATATGAATAGATCATAACCCATATATTAAATTTACTATAGATTGGTACCATTTCAATATCAGTTCTATACTAGTTTGGAACTTTTTCAGAGCCCTAGTTAAAATTTATAAAATATAAAATATTTTTAATTAAATTATTATAAATAAAATTTTAAAAAAATTAAACATAATTAACAAAAATTTTGTAATTTTTAATATATATTTAATTTAAATAATAAATATTATAACTATTTTAGGCTAAGATTAATCTACTTATTTTTTATGTTAAAAATCATTAATATAATGATGAAAAAATAAAATTTTAATAAATGTCTTGTATTTAATACCCATTTGCAAAAAAAAAATATTGTAACTATTTTATTATAAACAAATATTAAATATAAAAATTGATTTAAGCAAAAATTTATTATATTAATAATATTTATTAAATACAATTATAGCTTTATTATAATTTATTATAATAAAATAATTAATATGAATTAATATCAAGTAAATAAATAAATAATAATAATGTTAAATATTTAAATATTTATTTTAATAAAAATTTTAGTAAAATAATTATTTGTTTATAAAAACAAAATTATTATTTTATTTGAATTTATTATTTCAATTAATAAACAAGATGTAAGATATCTGTTTAAAAAAACATTATTTTAGTTAAATTATTAAATTTATTTTAATAGTTTATTATTATTATATATTAAATGTAAATCAAGTTATTTTTATAACAAATTGTTATCTTTATACTTTCTACAAAATTTTTAAATAATATTTATAGAAGTTGTCAAGAGTAAAATTAATAATAACATATAATTATAAGATTTTAAAGTTTTGGTTTTTTTATTAATAAGAAGTTAATTGTAAATGTAAGAATAAATATACAAGAAATTTTTTATAAAAATATTATATTTAAAACATAAATTCTCAGAATAAATATTATGTTATTTTATATAAAAATTATAAATATTATATATAAACAAACATAACTAATAAAAATTTTTGTTTTTTTTAACTAATTGTATATTTCAATTGATTATAAATTATAAAAAGTTGATTTTTCTTTTAACAATATATAAATTTATCAAAAAATGTTAATTGAATGTGAATTTATTAAAAAAAACTACTTGTTTTAATAAATACTCATTAGATTTTGGATCTTATATTGTTTTTTTTTATAAACATATTTGATTTAAATTATAAATATATAAAATATAAAAAATTAAAAAGAATAGAGAGCAAAATAATTATACTATTAAATAATTATTTCAAGTCACAAATATTCAGTATCAAATTTATAAATAATAATTTGTCACATTTAAATAAAATAAAATCAACTGTTTTAAATACCTTTTTATATTAGTAATTATATATTTAATACAAATACATGCCTAGAAAGTTGAACTCTTTTCAATGAATCATAATTTTAGACTCAAATTGCATGTAACTTCTTTTTACAAATTACAATTACATTTGAAAGCTATGTTTGGATTAGATGACAAATACAAATTCAGTTAGTTTTGCAAAATTGAAATAATAGCAAGATTAAAATATAACAATAAATGATTTCAGTATGTCAGAATTGTAATTTGATTTTAAAGCCATTATCTAGAATAGAGATTTGTTCATCAATAAGGTTATTCTACAAATCAAACCACGCGACCTCAAATCCAAAATTCCCCATATGCTGTAAGATATAAATTTTAATTAACTAAGATGTTTTGCAGATAGATAATAAATAATTTTATGAATTATAGTTGCTTACCCTGTCTATAAACTTTCGTATTGAACTAAATTAATTTAAATTAATGACAATACTTAAACTTTACTAATAATTCATGCCTTAAGCATTCCAATTGAACCGTTTGGCTGTATTCTACGAAAACATTTACATCTGCTCCATAGTTCTTCACCAAAAACGTAAATAGTTCTGGATCGGCAACTTCTGAATTGAAAGTTAGTTTACATGATTCCTTAATTATGCCAACAGAATGTCTAATATGCATGTATCTCATCAAACATAACTTTCTTGAATAATTCTAGAAAACACATCCATGCGTCATCTCTCACGAGGCAAATTTTCAGTATGCCTTCGCTTTCAATAATTAATAGAGTCATCCGTCTCACGTAAGAATAAATTGGCACGGGAAGTCAACTGCTGAATATCTTGAGCTGCTTGAAGTTTCAAAGAAGGATCGGAAATTCCACCACCGGCTCAGTATTGTATTTCCAAGTTCAGGTTTTGGCATTAAACTACAGTATTAGGCTTTATTAGTCAATATTAGAAAGTCTGAGGTCGGGATGCTGATAAGCCCTGCACTAATTTCTAGTGCCAAAACTGATTAACAATAAAATAAAGACATAAAATTAAATTTTGCCAATTTGATGTAAGCTCTCTTTAATCTAACTTACCCTAATTCCTTTCATCTTTTCATGTATTTGTGGATTAACTCCTTATTATCATTCAATCCTTAGATCAATAATATACGTTCGATAAGCCTCCTGTAGGAACTTTGGCATCGTCCTCATGAGACAAATCAATGAAGTCTTAATGTTTTTTCCGAAAATAGTAAATGATCCGGAAAACCGAAAAAAAAATACAAGATGTAGTCTTTTATTTGCAAATCAAGTGCCAAAAAAACATTATTTAAAATTGATTATGACCTTAATAGAATCGATATATTCGTTCAGATAATTTTTTCCCACAGGAGTATAGTAAGGTCCCCTAATTTCTGTTTATCCAAAATTTCGGGGCTTTGATTCTCACCATTGGTTGCAAAAATGGAAATGACTTGGCGTTTCCTGCATTCTTGTTTTCGTGTTGCTGTGGAAATTTTAATCTGGCAGTTGAATTAAAAAAACGAGAATAATGATATATAGGAGGTAATTGATTAAACAATCGACATGAAATTCCTTCGAGGACAGATTCCATCTTGAAGGGATGAAATATTTATTACAAAAAAACGTACATACATGTTTAATATTGAACTTTCTAATCATGTGATATAATGACTAAAAGTTAGCCTATGAACTTTTTTCCAGCCTGTAGCAAAATACGTACTTATAGTAAAGTAAAAGATATTCGAATTTCAATTATAGAGCCAAAAAAAATTTTCAATCTGTGCATTGAAATTGTGGCGTGCACCTAAAAACAATAGCATGCTTTCGAGAATAAAAACGAATAGTCTCATAGATTATGCAATTCTTTTCTCGACGCAAATAATTCGCCGCCGTATTATCATGTTATGGTCGTGCTACAGGTGTAACCATATTGCATCCGGTATTATACAAGAACAGCAGTGACGTAGCACGTATCAAAAAAATTTATATAAATAGTAATATTTTTTGTTCGAATTTGATTTTCGTAAAAATCCTTTCCCTTAAGATCAAATATTATCGCGCAGGTTAAGATCAAAACTTGACTTGTTATTTTTATATTGCAGCATCAAAAAGGTAATTTTGAGATATAATTAAAAATTTTTTAAATTTTTTCGCTAATATGTTATTTTATGCAAATAAATGCTAAGCCACTGCGACGCTTTCACATTGTGATTTGCAAAAATCAGTCGTTTCTAAAAAAAAAAAAATAAATAAAATAAAATAAAAAATGGCAAGGTGGAAGGGTCAAAGCATTATAGGAAAAACAATACAATATGAGTGCGATGCGGAACACGAGTCAAGAAATGTTTCATCTACAGCAATATTTGATAAATCTCTTCAAGATAACGACGACGAAAACGCTCCACCCATAATATTTAAGAATACAAACCAAAATATTGATTCCGAATACGCGAAACATCTGGATCACAATGAATACGAATGTGAAGTTGAACCTCCTTCATACTTTGATTTCAAAGAAACGGTTTCCTATTATTCAGATGGAATAAAGGATGAGATAAATGAGGCAGATTTTAGTCTTGAAAAACACTTCAATTGTTCAAATCAAGATTTTAGCGGTGAACTTTCGCCTAAGCAAACAGATGTTCAGTCACCCAATCTTTCGCTCGAGCAAGCTGAAGATGGGTTAACGCCTATGTTTTCGTTTCAAGATGAAGAATATCCCGGCGTGATAACTTTTACATCAAGCTTTGTTCGCTCAGGATCTTCCTTTCTTTTAACATCCCCTCCCCGCCCAACATTTTGTCCCTATTCTTCTTCTGACGACGAATCAGATTATGCAAGATCTCCTCCATATTTTCCGACATCTCCGTCATATATTCCATCTCCTGAATACAGACCCATATCTCCTTCATACTCACCCGAATATTTTTCGAGCAATATAAATCCACCGGAATCCACCTCTCAAGAAATTTCACCGCCATCTCCGATACCAGGTGTGGGAGTTGATTATTTCACGACCGTGCCGCCAGAAATTTTCATTTTGATTTGTCGGACTCTTTCTGCCAAGGATCTATTTAACCTTTGCCGAGCTTGCAAGAGGTTTAACTTATTCCTTTGCGAATCGAGTTCCACCTCTACCCAACATATTTGGCGTATCGTAAGAGAAGAAACGTTTCCGATATCAAAGAACGATGTCCCACCCCAGGGTATTGATGAAAGAGAATATATGAAAAAATTAATGGAGCGAAGATGTAAATTCTGCAAACATTTGCATCACTCTGGGTATTCTACTTTTCTTGTGGAAATGTCCAACACTTCGCATTAGATCTTTTGCCTATTTGTATGAACACCTAAATTTTGTGATGTTAATTTCTTATGAGCTTTTCTTACGTCAAATATGTCCTATGTGTACTTGACCTTTAGCATAAGATATAATTAAATTTTGTCATAATCAGTAAAATGTAGACTCGATAGTTTTAGATCACACACATACATATATATATACCTTCATAATCTGATAGACTTCCTTCTATTAACGTTGTTTATTTCTGCATTTATTTTGTCTGGTTCACGAATTATCTTATCCCGAATGTACAGACAAATGCGAATCAAACGACTAAAAAAAATCTAATTGTTTTTCTTGGGTACTAGTGCCAACCTACTATTGATATGAGTAGCGCAAATATACATTATATATAAAAATTTATTTAATTACCTGAGTACTATAGTATCAAAATAAAATCGAAAATGCATGAAATTAATAATTGGCGCTTATTTCGAATAATGCTAATTAGTTACAGTAAGTTTAAAATAGGAACGAAGCGAATATACAATTAATTAAATAATATTCCAATGGTTATTTTATTAGAATAACATAATACAAAAGTTGTTTGTATAAACAGGTAAACAAAAACGAGCGTTTTTTAAATCTTAATTTTATCGTAAACAGATTTTATAAATAAAAATATTATTATTATATTTTTAATATAGATAATAATAAGCTATATTATAAAAAATAAAGAAAGAAATAATAATTACAAAGGACGATGTTAATTATGAAATAATATCTTATTCTTCTCATTTATATCTTGTAATATACAATTTTATTTATATTATTCGTAAATAAAATTAATTGTTTCATGATTTTTTTTAAGAAACAAATCTCTAAAAAAAATTAAATTTCAATCATACAATACATATCAAATAAAATATAACATTTATGATTTTATCAGAATAATTTATTTATTTATTTATTTATATTTTAAACAAAATAATGAAATTATATCCTTTAAAAATTTTTTATTCTAAAATGTATCATAAAATATTTTGATTTAATAATTGATAATAAAAGTATTGCACTTTTTAAAAATTAATAATTCTTATTAACAAAATTCTTGCTTGTTAAAAAAATATAATTATTATTAAAATCTAATATTATTTGAAAGAATTAATTATTTATAAAAAAATTTTTTTATTTAAAATTTAATTATTAGTTTTTTTAAATAATTTTAATTATATTTTAAAAATTAAATTTGTTATTTTATATTTTTGAAAGATTTTGTTAAATTAAATTTTTTATTGCAAATAAATATTAAATACAAAAATTTATTTTTATTATTATTTTTTTTTTAATAATTAAATGTGATAAAGTTTGCTTATTTATTAATATATATTTATATTAATATCAAGAGTTGCTCAAAAAACTTGTTAAGATTAGAAATTAAATTTTTTAAATATAATGATAAATTAAAATTGCTATTTATAAATTTATCTGTGATAATAGATAGAAGATCCATGGTTGTGTCTTTTGACTTTAATTTAGAATTTGAGAATGAACAAAAGTGACTATAGGATTTAATAGGAGAGTTCTCGCAGGATCAGTGAAGATTCTGGTTCCAGATTATATTTGTAAAGAGTGATGTGTTTGCTGTACTGCATCTTGATTTCCATATAAGGTTGTAAAGAAAGGTAAAAGCTTCTGAGACTACATTTATCCAATTGTCAATATCAGTTATGATAAATATTTTGCTGTTAACTTTACAGGACAGCTTGTCTACTTGTCAAATATAATTGACTGGAGTATTATTTTTATTAGGACAGAGTATATTGTTTATGGTATTGATGATTTGGATTGTTTGCTCTTCTGTTTCAATGCACTTGAATATATGTCTTATGTTTTTGATTTTAAGTTCGCACCTTGAATAGAAGTGATCTGGTATTGTTCTGAATATAGTTAGTTGAGAAAGGCTCTAGTTGGGAGGGTTTCTAAAAAGAGCTTGATTCTAAAAGATATTAAGTTACTGTAAAAGTTATTTTTTTTTATTTTTGAAATGTTTAGAAGATTTAGTAAATATTTTAAGATCATAAAAGCTAAAAGTTTCTCCAAAGGTTCCCATTACTGATGTGCTTTCATATATCATATAGATCTTGATTAACCTTAAAATTTTCTTTAACTATATAATACTGCTGTCCAGATTGCTGTTGTTTATTCTTGGATTTTTGAGAAAGTGAGATAATGAAATGTTCCAATATATGCTATTGTCAGTTTTGAATTTGGATTTGAGTTTAGTGAATAAAAAGGAAATTGATTTTTGAGAGCTTAAGTTGTTAATTCTTAAAGTAATAGAAGAGTGATTATGTTTGATTATTTTTCTTGGTTTGCTTGGAATTTCTTGAATTATTTTTTTATTGTCTCTAATTTCAATAGTTGTTAAGTTTTGATACTATTGAATAATATTATAGATAGTTAAGAGAATATTGAAGATTGAATTGTTGGATTGAGGGAATATAATAAGATAGTTGTTAACTATAATATCATTTTTGTGGATTTGAATTGTATAAAGATATGATTGGTTCAGTTCCATTAGTTAAAATAATATTGGTAAGTTAAATTAAAAATATATATATTAAAGTGAATTTTTTTGAGCTTGAGAAATATTTAGAATTTCTTTTAGTAAGTTATTAAAATAAAATTTTGATGCAGAAGAACTTTGTGTAAATACCCAAAGAGAGAATGTGGATGAACTAGTGAAGGAATAAGACAGAAGTAGTTGCGAAAAATATTTAATAGACAGTTTATGCACTTAATTAGATTGTTACATTGGTTTAAAAGGTGGTGTTTGCCTTTAAGTAGTTTATTTTATCTAATTTCAGATGTTCTTTTATGGGTTTTGATTATAACTCAGTTCGGGTTGACAATTCAGAAGAGAAGCCTTGGATTGGAAATTGGATCATAAAATCCTCTGAGATTTGAGGGATTGCCAAAATTTTTAAACCAACTAGGTTCTGGTTCACATCTTGTGATTTCTGTATGGAACATGAGTTAGTACCAAGTGAGCTTGATAATGCTGTTGAATTTGAGGAGCTGGTTGGTAAATTGATATTTAGTACATTTGTTGTATGTATCAGGAAATTTTTCGAAAATTTCCAGAAAAATCTTTAAAAATCTTCAAAGGTTTTTAAGAATTTTTTAAAATAAAAAAACTCCAAAAATTTTTATTTCAAAAAAATTTAAAATTCTTCGAAGTAATAATAATTATTTAATAAATATTCATTACTTTTACCAA